ACACTAAGAATCAGGGGTAAATAATTCTTTAAATATTCAATAGTAAATGCCCATGCACCAACTGAGGAGAAGCCGGGTGAAGAAAAAGAACAATTTTATGAACAACTGGAAAATATTATACAACATTGCCCTAGAAATGACGTAAAGGTCTTAATAGGAGATTTTAATGCAAAGATAAGTAAGGAGAGGCAATACATGCCAACCATTGGAATTCACAGTTTACATGAAGAGTCAAACAACAACGGAACTCGGCTAATACACTTACCTTCCTTAATGAACATGGTGATTGCCATCACATGCTTCAGGCACAAAGATATACATAAGGGAACATGGAAAATTCCAGATGGGAATACAGCAAACCAAATCGACCATATTGTGGACATAATAGACGTACGTGCAAGACATGGGGCAAACCTAGACTAGTCTCGACAGCAAACTGGAAGGCTGCACGGCTGTTATTGTTAAAGATATTAACAACTATTGGAGGCAGTGTAGAGCCAGATTGGTAGAAGTGGCAACGGAAGTTATTGGAAAGCAAAAAACGTAAAAAATTAAGGTCAGACTGGTACGATGAGGAATGCGCACAAGCAATGCAAAGAAAAAATCAGGCATATAAAAGACTCCAAGGGCGAAGAGCGAGACAAACAGATGCAGAGTATAGGCAGCTGAGATGAGAAGAAAAACGAATACTTAAAAAAACAGCATATAGAGAGCCAACTAAAGGAACTAGAGAACTATAAGGCACAAGCAAAAACGCGAAAGTTGTACAAGAGAATTAACCAGAACAGGAAAGAATTCAAACCTAGATTATCAATCGTTAGAAATAGAACAGGGGAGATCATTGGTGATCAGGACCAGATACTAGAAAGATGGGCAGAAAACTTCGAAGAAAAGCTAAATATCAGAGGTGACAGAGGGCTCTACGAATCAGAAATGCAACTCGAGGACATTGACGATGAAAGAGAGAAAGATAACATCCCAACAGAGGTACAAGTCATCCAAGTTATACAGAAATTAAAAGAAAACAAAGCTCCTGGAGCGAGCAAAAGTGATGGAGTCGAAGAAAGCTGGGCAAAAATTAAGTATTAGCATCGGCCAAGGAAGTTCTTAGAGAAAAAAATTATAAATAAAAATAAATCGTTCCCAAGGCGAAGAACTGCATGATTTTGTAAACAAGTGAAGGAAAATATAAATAAAAGAAGAAAGCCCACCTGAAATATATGTCAACTAAAACACAAGAGGCATACTATAATTACAAGACAATTAGAAACGAAACACATGCACTTGTAAGAAAAATAAAAAATGATTACTGGGAACGCTTTTCAAAAGAAATGGAATATGATTTTTACGGTCTTCAATAGAAAATATGGTGCTTCATAAGAGGTCAAAGAACGGAAGTAAAGGAACTAATAGAACCGAAACACATAGAAAATACTTAAAAAGCTGAAGAACAGAAAAGCAGTAGGTAAATACGGGATACCAAACGAATTACTGAAATATTATCGAGCAGCAATGACAGGATAATTAACAACAATAATTAATAAAATTATAAAACACAATAAAATAGAGAAGAATGAAGAGAAAAAGCAAAGAAAATAGAGGAAGAATGAAGAACGAGCGAACTAACTCAACTATTCAAAAAAGGAGATAAAAAACAGCCAAAAAATTACAGATGTATAAACTTATTAAATACTACCCTAAAACTTACACCTAAAATTTTACAAGTACTAATAAATCAGATGATAGGTTTAGCAGATAAACAACAGTTTTTGTAGAGGAAAATCATGTAGGGATGCAGTATTTGTTATAAAGCAAAATTACTAAGAAATTACTAGAGTATAAACATAGACCAGCCTTTATGTGTCTGATTGGCCTTAAGAAAACGTTTGACAGAGTAAGACTCAAAGATGTAATCCATCGTTTGTATGATAAAAAACTTAACCCCTTAACATTATAAATATTTTCGAAAACATCCACCAAAATAATAAAATGGAAGTCAGAATAGATGGACAACTCACTGAACCTATAGAAATGGGCAACAAAATAAGACAAAGGGATTCATTGAGCCACAGCTCTTCAATTTAATCGTGGATGAAGTTACCAAAAGCGTTATCAAAAGAAGAGGATACAGAATGGCAAAAAAAGAAATAATAATACTCTATTACGCAGACGACGAAATATTGATAGCCCAAGATGAAGATAGTCTGCAAATATTGGTCCACAGATTTAACATAAGGGAAAAAGAATTTAATATGATAATCTCATCTCAGAAAACTAAAACAATAATAGTCAGCAAAGAACCAACCAGATGTAAAATAGAAATTGATGGCATCAGTATTGAACAAGTAATGGAAAAAAATACCTGAAAATTACACTATCTAGCTATGGAGACCTCTACAAAGAAGTGAGAGATCAAGTACAAAAAGCAAATAGACTGGCAGGATGCCTTAATAATACTATATGGCGAAACAAACACATTGACACTGAAATGAAGTCAAGAATTGATTAAGCCAGTGATGACCATTAACCAATAATAAAATCTGCCTCAGAAACAAGACCCAAAACAGCCACAATGCTAAAGCTACTGGAAACAGCAGATATGAGAGTTAACTGGATGACAGACGACATCTTAAAATTAATGGAACAACGTTGACTGATAAAATCTAATGTAGCAGAATATAGACACCTGCAGAGAAGCATAAAAAAGGAGATCAAATTAGCCAAAGAAAAATGGATGAGGGAAAGGTGCGACGAAATGGAGGATGTAATATCTAAACACGACTTATTTAATGTGCACAAAAAACTGAACGAAATGAGTAATATATTTAAAAAACGAGTTCCCTCTGTACTTGTTCACACTAATAACAAAATTGTAAATGAGCAAGATATGAGAAAAGAATGGCAGCTGTGTATATCAGAGTTGTTTGAAGATGACATTAATAATATTGTCGAATTCTACCAAAACTGTACTGACAACCCAGAAATTATGAAATGCGAAGTAGAACATGCTATAAATAATGCTAAAATTAGAAAAGCTTGTGGTCCAGATGATACACCAACTGAGTTGCTGAAACTAATAGAGAATGATAACATAAAGGTAGTAGTAAGACTTTTTAATTCGCAACTCCATCTTTATCGCAACACCTAAAAAACACAATGCGACAAAATGCTCAGAATATCGATTAATTAGCCTGATGAGCCACACTCTTAAAATTTACCTCAGAATACTTCACAATAGAATTAGAAGCAAATGCGAAGAAGATCTTGAAGATACCCAATTTGATTTTAGAAATGCTATGGGAACCAAGGAGGCACTTTTTGCGCTTAACATCCTATTACAAAAATGCCGTGACCAAAGAAAAGATGTATTTGCATGTTTTGTGGACTTCGAAAAGGCGTTCGATAAAGTACAGCATGTAAAATTAATGCAAATACTGAAAAATATCGGAATAGATGACAAGGATATTCGTGACATTAAAAATTTGTACTGGAATCAAACTGCTTTCGTAAAAATTGGAGATAACTACACCGATGAAATCCCCATACAACGAGGAGTCAGACAAGGTTGCATTTTGCCGCCAACATTGTCCAATGTTTACTCGGACCAGGTATTTAAAAAGGCATTTGAGAAACAACCATATGGAATAAAAATCAACGGGGAACTACTTAATGTGATTAGATATGCAGACGATACAGTAATTCTATCAGATAATATTGTAGGTCTTTAAATTCTGCTTGATCGTATTTAGGAGGTAGGAGAGGAAATGGGCATTAAAATAAACTTAAACAAAACCAAATTTTTAGTGTTTAGTCGTGAACCACATCCCGATGCAAAGCTTCAATTGAATGGAGTCCAAGTTGAGAAAGTTCACAAAATGACATATTTGGGAACTTTGACAATGGACCAACTAGATCCAGGCATAGAAATAAAACGTAGAATAGCAATGACTAAAACTACTTTTATGAAAATGAAGTCATTTCTTTGCAATAACCATCTCAGTTTGGAACTAAGGCAGAGAATGGTTAAGTGCTATGTTTGGTCTGTACTTTTGTATAGTGCAGAAGTGTGGACGCTAAAAGTATCGATTATGAACAAAATTGAAGCATTGGAAATGTGGGCTCATAGACGAATGCTGAAGATACCTTGGACAGCAAGAAAAACTAATGAAGAAGTACTAAGGAGCGTCAACAAAGACAGAGAACTGCTAAAGACTGTTAAACATATAAAAATGTCTTATCTGCGACATATAGTAAGGGGAGGTCGATATAAAATTTTACAACTGATCCTTAAAGGCAAAATAGAGGGCCGTAGAGGTGTAGGAAGAAAACAAGTTTCTTGGTTAAAAAACATTCATGAATGGACTCAGATACCAAATGCAGGACAATTATTCCATATTGCAGAAGATCGAGAAGTCTTCGCAATGGTGATCGCCAACGTCGGATAGTTCTGATATGGCACGCGAAGAAGAAGACAATGTATAAATGAATAGACACAAAATAGAAAAAAAAATGAAATAACCACATAGGCAGAATGAAGGAGACCCGTGTCGTCAAAATAGCAAGAGATAAGTTGCCAATCGGCAGAAGAAGTATCGGATGACCGCGAAAAAGAGTGACAACCTTCCATAGAGGTATTAAACCGTCAACGAATAAGCAGAATTGCTGATAAAGAGGAAGAAGAAGAAGAGATGATAAATAAATATACATATATATATATACATATATATATATATATATATATATATATATATATATATATATATATATATATATATATATATATAACAATAGCTTAATAATGACAAATTAGAATATTTTTGTCTAAAAATACGTTCTTAAATCATTTAAAACACAGAAACATCTGATTTGAAATGACCTCCGACCTCTTTTATCTATCAGTTGATGAGTAGTGTTTAAAATTGTCTACCCAAGTAAAACATATAGCTGATAATATGATAGATACATACTTTTTTATTCAGAATTATGTTTTTTAAACTTACATTTCTTGTTTGTTGGCTTGTTTTTCGTCTTTAGCAGTGGTAACATCACTAGCTCTTGCATTTTCATCCACCACTTGGGACACACTGGGTATATTTTTGTTCTCATCGGGCTCCATGACGAAAACAAACCGAACAACATACACGATAAGAATTAAAATTTATTAGTTTTTGTGGTATTTAAAATATAAACAGCAATAATCACAGCATTTGACATTTTTAGAAATCTTTACTTCTTCCTAAATATCCTACTAGCGTCGATACATTTAGTAGTTGATAGTTCAAGTGGACGCGACGAAGTCGAACGTTTGAATGAATGAACTGTAACGATGTGATAGGAATTGTAGTTTCTTGAGCATTAATAAGCTTATAAAAGCTCATCTTTTCGGCAATTTATTCATTGGGCTAGATGGTGGGAATTTATGAAGCGCTTGCTGAATACTACAATCTTTATAGTACAATCAGTTTGGTCGCTCGAGTATTTATGTAGACTATGCCCATTATGAAACGATAAACATAAATTAAAATTACCCGTATAATTCTTCTGTGCACTAGCATGAAAATTTTATGTATATAATATTACAAAATTAATATTTCAGATTTATTTCTTTAAATTGAATTTAAGTGCTTAGCTTTAATGAGTCTCTTAGTAAGATGGGAGTACTACATCAAGAAACATAATAATATATTAGACCAGAGAACTAAATATTTCCCGTGACATTCGTTTATACAGGTATCTAACAATTGCTTTTATTAAAATCGTGATAACAATATAAACTAAACAAAATATGGAAAAGATTAAACTTACATTTTCACTTATAAACAATACATAAATAAGATCGCTATTTGATTTTAAATATGAAAGGTGAAGACCACTAAATTATATGAAAAAGTGACAGAATTTTCCTGAAAAGCATAGAAAATCATTTAAAATGAGGGTTTGCAAAGTTATTTTTTAATTTGATGCTTAATTATTGCAAAAATATATTCAAAAGTTGATTTTTTGAAAATAAATCAAAGAAGGAATAATGAATTAAAAATCAAAGAAGTAATTCCTATAAACAAAACGTTTTTCTTATAATTAATTAAAAATCAAATAAGTATAACCATAACATAACTTCTCAAACAATGGTCGAATATTCTACGCTTTCACTGGCAGGTGACTCTTTTACCTTTATGAGGTAGGTTACAGCAGAATCGAAAGATGCAGTGAATTTTGAAGAGGTCACATGTAGTTCCCGTTCTAGTTTTAAAATCTTTTTGAAAAAAAAAATGATTTTAGATAACTGTCTTTTGCAAGGATTTCAATTTGGTGTTGTAATTTATTCTTCTTTAAATCGATTAGTGCTTCGACAGTTGGGTCATTTTCATTAGATATTTTCGACTTGTTCTTTTTTGCACAAGATGCAGTAGGTACACTGCTGCTCACAGTAGAAATAAACACATTAGAGTTTTTAATTTTGTTTGTTGCACCGTGATCTTGCAAATGGTTTGAATTTTCTATTTCTTGTTCAACGTTCTCAGGATCTTGCTCCTTCTCAGGATCTTGCTCCCAAGTTTCGGAAATTCTGAGACTACACAGAATTGGATTATCCGGCTTAAGAATGTCTAGAACTACATTGTCCATTTCTGTAAATTTAGAATCTGTGCCTCCACCTGAACCATTTTTCTCTTGTTATCAACTTTCTTCTGCAATACGAAAAAAAGTGTCAGATACACTTACACTTTGGCAAATTAAACGCTAACACTTACCATTGTTGTTTTCTTTAAATTTTGCCAAAGTACATCACGGCTGTAAGTCCAATCCTTATTTGGAGGCACAAGCCCTAAACTGGTGGATTTTTGGTGCAGAGTTTTCTAACATTCTATTTTGTCTTTTTTTGTTAATTTGTCGGAAAAGCTGCCTAAAAGAATTGTTTTCTTATCTCCAATCTCTTTTAAAATTATAATTTTAGTACCAGTTAAGACGCTTTTCGACATTGTCACAGAATTATAAATAAAGACTGACGTTTAACTTAGTAAATTACTAAATTGTCAACAAAACTATTTTAAGGTTATGTTTATTTACAAACTTGTAACTATACTCTGTTTTTTAATCAGGAGGAGTAAACCAAAAAGACAGATTCACACCCAAAAAAGTTACTAGAGAAGTTACCAAATACATCTTCTTTTTTTGTTGATTATCTCGGCCTTACGGTAATCAAGTAATCAATATCGGACAACCTCACACCTCAATTTTAACTTAACTTTGTTTATTTATGTTTGAATAATAAAATATTTTTTTTCAATTCACTTCCAATATATATTACAATTATTACAATAATTTTTTTATTCACACTTTTTTCTTATTTGGTCCCATGTATATATATTTAAATATCGTCTGATTAAGTTTTATAGATCTCTTGAGTCTATGGTATTTAATTATAATTTAGAGAATATTTTAGTCGGGAGAGTCAATAATGTTACATATCTAAGTATGGTTTTCAAGTAATCAGAAATTTGTCTTTTAATAGTAAACCATATTCTTATATTCTGGTATGATCAATTTCTTGAATCTAGTTTTTTTTCTTACCAGAGTAAGAGTGTAAGTGTGTACTTACAATTTCTTTAATGCTAGATTCTTGTTTAATTTTGACAGTGAGTTTGTCCCATTTGTTATCAACAAATAAAATTTACTAAAAAATACTAGATTTCTGTATTAAATAGAAAGATTATCAACAAGTCCAATCTATTATGTTACATTCTTGCATCATTTTGCAGTTTTCTTGTGATGATTCACAACCAGGAAGAACAAAACCAACTGTATCAATACAATCAAACTAAAACACAACATTACTTTACTAATGTTCTTTTATTGTGATGAAAACGAAATGGAAACACTTCTTAACAAGTATGTATACACTAAATTTAAAAGATATTTGCCGTTTTTCTTATGATAATTAGATATAAATAACATACGTTTATAAATTTATAAACACTTTAAACTATATTTAGTATAAATATCATCTAGAAAAATATCACATTAAAGTCTATTCGCATATCACCAAGTCCAAGTTATTACAAACAACTTAAAAAGTCAGAAATCGATTTATATATTAGAGGAAAATAGTAATAAATAAATTTCACAAATGTCATTAGTGTCAATATGTCATAATTTAGTGGAGTAAACTTGCCTGCGGTTGGACCAATTGCAAACAAGCATTACGGCGCGGAAAATTTGAATTACTCCTCCTGGTTACAAAACAGACCATAATATGCGTGAAGTACACTTGTTGCTGACAAATTTACACATTTAACGAACAAGTTAAATATTTTTTTTGTAAAACGCTAGTTATTAGCAACTTGTGATTACAAGTGCTGAATATTAACAATTGTTACTAACAACACTTGTAGTTTTGTGAAACGGGCCCCAGATCCATTCCTACTATTATATTAAATTACGTGTAATATGTTGCATATTTTGTTTATTACCTCCATTATTATATCACCAAATGTACTTAAAGCAGTTTGTAACGAAAAAGGCTTCTTTTGCTAATTTCTTTGGTCTATGTGCCTTGCGTTATCTGTCCATCTGTCTGAAGTTAGAAATCATACCTTATAAACGGTATATCTGATTAAAAAAAACTTAGTAAAAAAGACAACACGACTCTAAAATTAAATTGAATCAACATTAGATCACAGTAGCAATACTTCGGTAATGGTGTGAGGGGGCAACTAATTTTGTAATTTTTACATATGACATGCGATTCGACCAATCAAAACATGCATTCGACGAGAAACATAAGGTCAAACTAGAGTTAAATTAATTAAAATAAAAATATTAAAAACAAATGTTAATTTTGTATCCTGTTTCGGACGACTCCCTGGGTCTAGTTAGTTGGTATTCATAAGCTAAAACTAACTACTAAGAGATAATTATTATAATCGGCAGAAAATTCACTTTTTTTAGAACGTTCTTCATTTCTTCTCGTTATGTATGTTATCTAGAACTTGGTGTATGTTATCTAGAAATCTTGTTCTGGGTCTTCCTCTTTTTCTTTGACCAATAAGTCTATCAACGAGCGTTTTTCTAGCTAGGTCGGTTTGCTCCATCCACATTACATATGTATTTTACGATATCTGGTTCCTGGTATATTCTATAGAGATTGAAGTTGTATCGTCTTCTCACACAACTTTTGATTATGGAACTCATATTGATTATTAGCCAGGTATTTCAATTTCACTCATTTTATTACTACATTTACAACACAGTTTGCTCTATGCTCCATGCAGTATGCTTTATGGCAAGTCTAGAATGCATGCTTCGTTTTTCTATCTTCTCCTTTGCAAAAATAACACCTAGTTTGTTTCACTAAGCTTGTGGGATATTGTGTTGGAAGGTCTTCAACTTGAAGAATGCCACACATTGTTTGCCTGAGTGATTTCTGTAAAGAAGGTATGTAGATTCTCTCTAGCATTAGTGGTTCAATTAAAGCCATTCCCAAAGACTTCAGAAATGATCTTCTATTATTAAATGCATTTTCTTTCCAATGGTCATCGTTGGATCCAAATCCAAGTAAGCTTGCAATATTTCTAACTGGTTCATAATCTATTTCACTATCACTTTGTTCACTTTCATCAGTATCAGTATTGAAGTTTTTTTTTTTTTATTAGAAAAAAGATGTCGCATCCACCAAAAGGTTATTAGCGACGGAACAAAATATAAATAACAAAGTTAGACACCTACAGATTGTACAAAATGTTTATGGATTTAAGATAATTCACTATATTTTCATAGGAACAGTTTTGACCTAGAGCCTGTGGTAGAGCGTTTGGGATCTTGTAGCGCTGTCTTTCTTGGTCATATTTACTACAAATTATTAAAAAGTGTTCGACTGTTAATCGGACGTTACACTGATCACATATAGGTGGATTATTCTTTGTGAAAAGGTAGGAATGCGTTAATCTGGTATGTCCTAGACGTAAACGCGCAACCGCAATTTGTTCCCGTCTATTGCGCGACGATGGAAACCACTGAGACACATTATTTTTAATTTTATTTAGATTGGAATTAGTTCGAGACCACTCATTTTGCCACAAACACAACACTTTATTTTTAAAATAAGCTTTTAAGTCACTGGAAACACACTTGTCTATCGGCTCAGACAAATCACTTAAAATAGCCTCTCGTGCAATCCTGTCAGCTTCTTCATTTCCTGTTATTCCAACGTGTGAGGGAACCCATAAAAATTGGACGCTTCTTCCATGTTCATGAGCTTGGGAAAGCTGGTATTTTAGCAATTTTTCAAAAGGATGTTTCGGAAAAATGTGTTTTAATGAGTTTAGAGAGCTAAGGGAATCTGTTATG